ACACACACACACACACACACACACACACACACACACACACACACACACACACACACACACACACACACAGGTGTACGCGCCGTGTGACGTCACAGGGGCGCCACGAGCACCAAAACAAACCGAATAAGAAGGTTTTGTGGAGCTAAAGTTTGGGTCCTGAGCGGTTCACTTCTTGCAGGACTTCCTGGTTCATCAGCTAACCTGTGCAGTAGAACACTGTGTTGTCACCTGTTGAGCTGGTTCTGTTCATTTGGACCAAACTCTGTGTCCCATTTGCTCCGTTTTTGGTTTAAACCAGATAATTTCAGGCACATCTGTGTTCCTGGTGACTTCAAAAGTGAAACCAGAGTGTCTAGGTTCTGATCCTGAAGCATGAAAACCTGGTTCAGAACCCCACTGACGTCCAGAACCACCCTTAGAATTAAAGTTCGTCACATGACTCCTATAAGAAGACAGTCAGCAGTCCGGGTTGTTCTGTGTTTAACAAAGTCTGTGTAACATCAGCAGTAGCAGCTGGATTGATGCGTTTGGTTCAGAAGTCAGCGGACACTTGTACCAGGGTTAAAGCTGAAGTCCTGCCGCTTACCGTCCACATACTTCTGGTCGTGCAGCAGCTCAGTGGTTCCATTTCAGACGCATTAAAGTTGAATCGAGCCTCGGACTGAAAGCTGAGGAAACGGGTCAGGAGGTCAGAAAACCTGATTCCTGACGAACACTCAGACACATCAGGGCTGTCGCTGGTTTCAGTAAAACCTGCTCACATCCTGCGTGTGAAGTTTATCTCCCAACATGTGATCAGAAATGAAAATGGTTCTGCTGGTTCTGGTGTTTGTAATGACTCTGGTTTGCTGCGGGTTGTTTTTGCACACTGAGTCGATTCAACCAGTTTCTCTGATCTGGTTTTTGTTTGTTTGATTTTGTGCTCACGTTAGTCCTCGTTATCAGCTCTGGATTCACACCGACGGGTTCAGTTTTAGTTCCGTCTTTAGACAAACAGCGGTCCAGATTTACAGCGTTGTCAGAGCTGCAACCTTTAAGTAAAACCAGAATAATAACACATTTATTACTGTAGAACGTGTCGGTAGTGACGTTCTCTCTTTTCTGTGTGATTAAACGGACGTTTGGAAGAATGAAGTGAAAAACACAATCAGTTATGCGAATATTAGAGCATCTTCCAAGCTGCAGGACTGAGCTGACGGCAAACCAGTCGGTTAAAGTGAACAGATAACGTTTGGAGCTCCTCGTGTCGAGCTGCTGTGACTTGTTGGTATGAAAACGTGTCCTCGTCCGGGTTCTTCAACCATGATTGTTGTTTATCTTCACTTCGGTCCATCACAGCGAATGTTCTTCTGTCGTTACTCCGTCAGTCTGAATCGGTTCGGTGTAAAAGTCTGGGATTATTTCAGATTATCACAGAACAAACATGTGGTTAACTTAACCAGCTAACTAGCAGTAGCTTCCAGCTGCTACAGAACTGATTTTATAACCGTTTGTCTGATTAAAGAGGACGACTTTGAGTATTTACATGTCAAACGAGGAAACTCCTCATCGCTCACGCTCATCTCCACCCATGTCGACTGTCGTTAAAGTTAATGACAGATGTAGAGAGTCTTCTTCCTGAAAGGGGCGGAGCCACAGCAGCGCCGGACAGTGGCACAGTCCATATGGAACAGTTGTACAGTCGTGGATAGATTGAAGGTCTTTGAGGTGTTCTGAGCTGAAACCCTGAGAGACGACTGTTCTGAACGTGTGAGGCTTCAGCTATCCCTGCTAGCATGCTACAGCGGATAGACATCAGCTGGTGCTAAAATGTTCCTGGTGGAACTAGAAGCTCAGCCACACCACCATGGTAACCGATGGTCCACAGCGATGTCACCATGGTAACCAATGGTCCACAGCGATGTCACCATGGTAACGGATGCTCCATAGCGATGTCACCATGGTAACCCATGCTGCACAGCTACGTCACCGTGGTAACCCATGCTGCATACTTAGCCTGATCCAAAGCAGGTTCTGTTCAGAGCTGAGATGTGAGTCAGCTCCTCTGACCGGTTCGTCTCCTGATGATTCTCTCTGAGTGATTCAGGTTCTCAGCTGAACTTTTATCTGCGTCAGAAATCAAACTCAACGAAGTGCAGCTCCATCACCATGGTAACAGATGCTGTGCAGCTCCATCACCATGGTAACAGATGCTGTGCAGCTCCAT